CTAGCACAATGGAGGCTGTAGGCATTACCACGACGTAAGTGTTTAAATAATAATAATTTAAAGAGATGAGACCTTTTACTCCCTAAACTCAATGGAAAGGAGTCAGGACAGCGGAAGGGTTTAGAGGCAATCCCTTCTAATGCCTCTTCCTTGGAGGAGTCCCCTAATTTGTATCCTGATTGCTTTCACTTGTCAGTTCCATTCCAAGTCTGTGTAATTTGCAAGTCAAATGCAGGCATTCCCTGGCTGGAAGCTTAGCAGGAGAGCCGGAAACAATACTGACAGGTTTCAGAGGAACAGCCGTGTTAGTCTGTATTCGCAAAAAGAAAAGGAGTACTTGTGGCACCTTAGAGACTAACCAATTTATTTGAGCATAAGCTTTCGTGAGCTACAGCTCACTTCATCGGATGCATTCAGTGGAAAATACAGTGGGGAGATTTATATACACACAGAACATGAAAAAATGGGTGTTACCATACACACTGTAAGGAGAGTGATCACTTAAGATGAGCTATTACCAGCAGGAGAGCGGGGCTGGGGGGAGGGGAGGGGAAGAAACACCTTTTGTAGTTTCAGAGGAACAGCCGTGTTAGTCTGTATTCGCAAAAAGAAAAGGAGTACTTGTGGCACCTTAGAGACTATACTGTGTGCTTTGTGCTTCTTGTCTCGCCTTCAATAAAGATCCTGGAATTGGAACTTGCCTGGCAGTGAGTTTGTGTCCGAGGTAGGAGAGAACACATAACAGGCTGGGGTTTGCAGTACTACCCAGTGTAGTGTATTGAGGACTGTGTTGGAATTGCAAGCTATCATTTTAAGAGCAGGGAGGGGTGTTCCCTTAGCTTGTAGGCTAGGGGCCAGGGTTCTGTGGCAAAGAGCATGCGATCAGAGTCAGACATCGGAGTCAGTTTGGGGCCAGCCAGCCTACAGTAAGGTGGGGTGGGTCGTTCCTTGCTGTTTAGGGAGCAGCCTGCTTTGTTTCTCTCTGTTTTGGGTTCTTGTGTGTTCTGGATCAGTGGCTCTCAACCTTTCCAGACTACTGTACCCCTTTCAGGAATCTAATTTGTTTTGAGTACCCCCAAGTTTCAACTCACTTAAAAACAACTTGCTTAGAAAATCAGACATAAAAATAAAAAAGTGTCATAGCCACTAGGACTGAATTGCTTCCTTTCTTGTTTTTACCATATAATTATAAAATAAATCCATTGGAATACAAATATTGTACTTGCATTTCAGTGTATAGTATATAGAGCAGTATAAATGTATGTATATGTGAAATTTTAATTTGTACTGACTTCGTTAGTACTTTTTCTGTAGCCTGTTGTACAACTAGGCAAATACCTAGATGAGTCGTACTCCCTGGAAGAGCTCTGCGTACCCGCAGGGGCCTGCGTACCCCTGGTTGAGAACCACTGTTCTGGATTCTAAGACATAAAGCAGTGTTATGTTCCAAGCTTCCAGCAAGAGTATGAAATATTTTTTATCCCGATAACACCCAGAGCAGCAGTTAACTCTAAACAAAGGCCTTGGGGCTTGCTGGGGTTTCTGCACTACTGCAGTCAGGCCAAGGTGCTATTCATGCCGGCAGAGCTCTGCCCTGCTTGAAACCAGGGGAAGCTGCACCAGTGCAAATGGCAACTCGGAGCCCGTCTACACTGGGGATTTGCCCCGGGGCAGCTAAACTGGTGGCTGGACTCTCACGTATGGACAAGGGCTAAACAGAAGGCGCTGGAGGAGGGGGTAAGATTCCTGATCCCATTGAAGTCGATGACAAAACTCCCGCTGATTCTGGGGGGAAGGGGAGTCAGATGTGGGCAGCGCAAAAGGGCAACTTATACAAAGTCATTTACTCTAACCACCAGCCGCCACCCACTTTGGGTAGATTCCAGACACCTCTGCTGCTTTCTGTTCTCTTTCCTAATCTTCCCCCTCCCCAGCTGGCAGCCAGCTGGTCTCTTGGGGAGCTTGAGAGGGGCATAAATCCGCTCTGCTGTTTAGATTGTAAGGGGAGAGCTCTGCCCTCTTGTTATTCAGACCCATGAGCACCCATGGCTCTGCATACACAATATCCATAAAGCCTGCAGCACTGAAGCCAGGTCGGTGGCCGCTGGGATGCAGTAGATGCGGACTGAGAGGGGCCTGAAGTCTTTTGCAAGGCTGCTGAAATCTGGAGCTGCGGCTGGTCCCCACTCACGTCCGGCCCGCTTAGAAATTCATGCAGTAGCCCTGGGCCCCTGTCTGGCAGGGAAACCTCCTGCCCTCCCGAAACTGAATGGGTGATAAAGAGGAAGAAGAATGGTCCCTCTGATGCCACAGGAAAAGACTTTGAAACTCCCCAGATCCACTTTTTTCAGAGTAGCAGCCGTGTTAGTCTGTATTTGCAAAAAGAAAAGGAGTACTTGTGTACTTGTGTACAGATCCACTTTGTGTGTTTCAGGTGCACAGTGCACACAAGAAATTACCCAGCACTGAAGCCGACTTGCTGAAGAGGCTGATTGCTACAATTCTCTGGTCAGAACTGTCACACTTGGCTCCTAAATCCCAGAGGGGATATCCAGAGGGGCTGAACATCTGCAGCTCCCAAGGAGGTTGGTGGAGTGTGTGGGTGGCTTAGATTCAGGTGCCTAAATGTGGCCACAGGAGCCTTGCTCTGTGCACCAGATCTGAACGCTCTGCCTAGAGCTTTTTAGCCTACGCTCTCTCCGCTCTTCCTGTAGCGGATGCTAGCACAGAGCCGCAACATGCCCCCGGCACAGCCTTGTCCACACCCCCACACACAACCAACCCCTGCCGCAGTGTGCCAGGCACTATCCTGTCACCCAACCCCAACACCCGCCCCCACACACCCATTTTGCGCCTGACATCCCTGTCCCCAGAGCTGTGCCCGCCCTGCTTCCCTAGCCCCACTCACTGATGTGGTCCAAGGCCCCGGTGCAGAAGCGCCCATAGAACTTCTTGGCAGCCAGCACCTGCAGGTCGTGGGTGGTGAAAGGCCAGAGGTGCAGCACGTTGTTGCGGAACTCACTGCCACAGGAAGAAGAGGATCTGGATCTTTATCTTGTGGCATATCGAAGACTGTGTTGCATCCAATGAAGTGATCCAATGAAGCTCACAAAAGCTTATGCTCTAATGAATTTATTAGTCTCTAAGGTGCCCCAAGTCCTCCTTTTCTTTTTGTGTTGGAAGTGCAAGCTATCCCTTTAAGGTGGGTGTGGGTTCCTGATCCGGCTTGCAGGCCAAAGGCTCTCTGTAGCAACAGTGTGATCCAGCACTGAGTCAGTCTGAAAAGAACCAGTGTAGAAATGAACAAGGCGGGGTGAATTGTGCCTCTCTGCCTTAGGGAGCAACCTTTGTTTTGTCTCTCTCTCTCTGTTTTTTGTTGCTGCGTGTTTGTGACACTCTGTATTTCAGGGGAACATCCTGCACCCCCGTGTTCATCCTTATAATATGATTGTGTGGTATCCAATGCAAAGTTTGTCATGTTGGGTGTCTTCGGAAGGCTCATGATGCACTTGAGCATTGTTGTTATAGTAATGTTATAGGTTGTAATTTCATGTATAGAGTTACGAGGCTGAAAATGTGTCCTCATGGCTTTAAACAAGCCCAGGCAAAACTCTCCAGGAGCAGAGGGGCAGTTCACACCTCATCAGGGCATGTATGGGACCAACCAAGCCTCACAGGAACAAAGGACACTAGCCTAGGCAGCAACAAAGGATCTGTTGGACTCTTGAGTGAGTCACCCCCCTTCCCTGGGTCAGTGCGGGACTATGATGAGGTAATGCTCACCTGACTCTAAAAGGTGGGGGGGCAAAGCCAAGAGGGAAAAAAGAACATGATAAAAGGGAGAGACGTTTGCTAGGCTCTCTCTCTCTCTCTGTTCCACCTCCACCTACAGACATCACCACCAAGCGACTGAAGCGCTGCTCAAAGGGGAGAGCCTGGCTGAAGGGCAACCAGCCAGCCTGTGGTGAGAAGCATCTAAGTTTTTCAGGGCACTGAAAGTGTTAAGATCCACTTAGAATGTGTTTTGCTTTTATTTCATTTGACCAAATCCGACTTGTTGTGCTTTGATCTATAATCACTTAAAATCGATCTTTTGTAGTTAATAAATTTGTTTGTTTATTCTACCTGAAGCAGTGTGTTTGGTTTAAAGCATGTCAGAGACTCCCCTTGGGATAACAAAGTCTGGTACATATCAATTTCTTTGTTAAATTGACAAACTCATATAGGCTTGCGGCATCCAGCGGGCATAACTGGACAGTGCAAGACGGACGTTCCTAGGGTTGTGTCTGGGACCGGAGATATTGGCTAGTGTCATTTAGTTGCACAATCCAAGCAGCGGCTGGCCAAAAGTGCTCACCCATGTATCTGGGAGCAGCTTACATGCGAGATGCAGTGCGTGAACAGCCCAGGAGTGGGGGGTCTCGCAGCAGAGCAGGGTAAGGCTGGCTCCCAGAGCCGAGGACTGGAGTGGCCTAGAAGATCACTGGTCCAGATAACACCAGGGGAATGTCACGGTGTTATCTTTCTGGATTCTAAGAATAAAAACAGTGTTCTTTTGCAACCTCCCAGCAGAGTATTTGATGTTTCTATCCAACATCTTTGTGTGTAAGCTGTGAAATGTAACATAGCTGAAGGCTATATTAGGCCTTAATCTTTTGGCACAAGCAGTAGACACTCATGCTTTTAGCTCTGAAGCTCTTGGGTTCAAATCCTGCCGTTGCCCAAATGGGGTCTGTTATAATTGGACAATTAGCTTGGTACATCGTGGGTTTCGGTGTGGGTATATGTGTGTGTCCCTTCTCTGCAGCATCAGGGGTTGGCTATCTAGTGGCAGCAGACTGGGCTATGTGGTCCGATCCGCTACAGCGAGCCCGTGGTCCTGGTTTCCCTTCCCCTGTGTCATGCCTTGGGGTAACGTCTGTGAAATGGGGGTTGTTTGAGAGGTGGCTTCTCTGCAGCGCCTCCCTCGCTCAGTCTGTGCTTTGCTCACTCTTTTCCAGACTCCCTTCTTGACCCCGAGTACCCAGGATGAACACTCAAGATGGGGAGCAGGGTAACCCGGCTCACTCCCTTTTCGAAACCTTCCTCCATGCCAGCCACTGCCAGGAGGTGCTGGACAGCTTCCAGGCCTTATGTGGGCAGCTGGGTCTGGAGCACAAGGGCCAGCTGCCATTCTACCGTAAGCTCAAGTCCTGCCTTAACGACTGGAGTGCCAAGGACCTGTGGGGCAAGCTGGATAAGAAGGCTGGACACAAAGACTATGACCAGGGAAGGGCATGTGCCAACACCAAGGTGAGAAGGGAGGGCATGGCTGGTATAACCAGGGAAGGGCCCCTGTTGAGAGCAAGGGGGAGGTATTACACAGGCTAATTGTGTGATTTGCCTCCTTCTAGTGGCAGGTCCAAGTAACTGTAACAACTTACTACTAAGTTATAGCTAATGGAGCTGCTCTTTTACCTCAAGTGGTGGGGGCTTGTGCTTCCAGTATGGGGAATCGTGGGTTCGAATGTCAACAGTGGTGTTTGTCTGAAGGCAGCTGTGGTTCGTTGCACCTAGACATTTCAGGTCAGAGCCGGGGGTGCGTGGGGCGCATTGCTGGTGCGGGGTGAGCCCAGAGCGAGGTGATGACCATGCTGTCTTCAGGGCTGAAGTGTTTGTCCTCTCCAGGCAGAGCTGAGCGGATCAGACAGGGTATCTGAGCACCCTGGGTTGCTCCTGATAGGATGTGCAGTGGCTTGCGATGTTGACACTGTGAATAAATAGGTCTTGGCAGTTCAACAACCCCACCTGTGATGCAAATCGGGCCCCTGGCTCGAAGGGCAGGCATGGTGCAGCATCCTGGTGAGCTCTGCCTGTGCCAGTATGTTTCGGGAAATCTCCTACTTGGACCCTGTCTCCACTAGTGCTCCAGGCGGGAGTGTTCCCGAAACCCTCATGCTGGCTAGGCCGGGGTCGTACAGCGTGTTTGCTCTGTCCAAGGCCCCAGGGCGTGCAGGAGGGGTGGGGGGCTAGGAGCCAGGAACTCCCACGCCCCAACACTGATTCCTTGGGCGGTTGAGCTCTCTGCTTATGTCCCCTTGTGGAGAACAGGGAGTTAATGGCTTCCTTGCAGGCAGTGTCAGTGCTGGGGGGGAGTAGGGGGTGGTGCTGTTCAGTCTAACTTGGGAGAGATTAGATCCCCCATTATCTGTCCTTGGATGAGAACAACTGGGACCGAGACTAAAACACATTGTTTTAAAACCTGCAAGGGTTCAGCTCGCTGAATTCCCAGCAGGGGGAACATGGGGCTTCCTTGTCTACGCTGAGGAATTCAGCCATCAGTGTGTGGTACCCCTTTAAGGGCTGAGCTTCCCAGGCAGAGAGTCCGCAAAGAGATCTTCCACGAGCATCTCGGGCACTGAGTGTTCATTGGACACCACCCAGCATAGCTGCACTGGTGCAAACCCACAGGACTGACACACCGAGCTGCTGCTTGTGCTGGGGGTAGCTCACCCCTGCTCGAATCCGGGGCTAGCTGCACGGGTGCAAATCCCAGCAGCTAGAGGCTTTGCCCATCCCCAGGGGTTTGGATGGGGGGCTGCAACCAGGACAAATCCCCAGTGCAGACAAGGCCAGGGTTTTTAGCAGATCACCGTGATTCTGGCCCAGTGAAAATGGAGGGAGTCGGACCCGCTGTGGGACGAGGGGAGACCAGAGCTGGAGGACTTTCTGGCCTGGGGTTTGCGTGCGCTCCCCTACCAGTGGTGTGACTCGTGCCCTGTGTCAAAGGGGGTTGGCGCGATTTCCTGACTCGGTCAACTTGGACGGAGTCACCTGGCTATTGCAGTACAGACCCCCTGCTCCCTCCCGTCTTCAATACGCTTGCCTCACCCCAGTCCTCAGCCCTGCCAGGTCTTGAGATCCCAGCCAGGCCTAGTCTCCCCTCCCTCAGCTAGTCAGGCCCTTCTGCCCCCCAGGGGGACAGACGTGCCCGTCCCAGGAGATCAGCACTGGGGTACCTGGTGGGCTTATTCCGACCTATAAGCGGGGAGCCCCCTGCGTTCTGCCCCGGGCACCCAGCTCTGACACTGCCCCTTCCAGTGCCTGATCATCGGGGCAGGCCCCTGCGGGCTCCGCACCGCCATCGAGCTGGCCTTCCTGGGGGCCCACGTCGTGCTGGTGGAGAAGAGAGACTCCTTCTCCCGCAACAACGTGCTGCACCTCTGGCCTTTCACCATCCACGACCTGCGGGTGCTGGGCGCCAAGAAGTTTTACGGGCGCTTCTGCACCGGGACCTTGGATCACATCAGTGAGTGGGGCTGGGGAAGCAGGGCGGGCACAGCTCTGGGGACAGGGATGTCAGGCGCAAATGGGTGTGTGGGTGTTGGGTGACAGGACAGTGCCCGGCGCGCTGTGGCAGGGGTTGGTTGTGTGTGTGTGTGGGGGGGTGGACGGTGGACAGAGCTGTGCCGGGGGCATGTTGCGGCTTGTGGGGATTGTTGCAGTGAGGGGCACCTGCGGCTGGGGTTGTGGGGGAGGCTGGTGGAATGGCCAAAGTGCCCTGTGGTTGTGGCTGGGTGAGCTGGGGTCTGGGGCCCGGCTGTCCCAAAGGGAGCCCCATCCCAGCGTGCCCCCGGAGACGCTACTGTGGATTTCAGCTCCCCCCACGCTCCGTTTCACACCAAGGGCAGCTTTGCCCCCGGCCTGCACAATAAACACAGCTGGCACCTGCCTTCTGGGGCCGAGCCCCATCTCCCATGCTCTTCGACCTGTGTCTGCACATCAAAGGGGTCCCCCCCACCCCAGCGCTGCTCCAGGGGATTCTGCAGTAGCAGCTGCCCTCCCTGGTAAAGCATCCTGCATCCCATGGTGGGGAGAGGTCCGGGCCCCAAGTCTGTAGCTGGCAGGCAAGTAGCTAGGGAGCTGCCTTGGGTCAGATAGCAGGGAGTGGTCGGAGTCTGTGACCCACAAGGCAGGGGAGCCGAGTGGGGGATGGACTCGAATGGGCTTTGTCTGCAGCTGAGCTCTGGGGAGCTTTGATTTCTGCTCACTCGCTCTGTCTTTCTCTCTCCAGGTATCCGACAGTTGCAGCTGATCCTCCTGAAGGTCGCCTTGCTCCTGGGGGTTGAAGTTCATGTCAACGTGCAGTTTGAGGGGCTCATCCCCCCCGCAGAGAAGGGAAGCGGACGGGGTAGGGAAGCCGGAGCCTTGTGGCCTGGACTCATTCCAGCTGTCACTGGCTGAAATCCAGCCTGTCCTGTGCTGACGGTGCAGCTCATCGCAGAGGGGCTGTCCTGGGGTCGGGGGATGCAGAGAAGTGCCCCAGGTGTGCGTGAACTTTTCTGAGATCACACCGAGGGGTTCAAGCCGCCCCATCACACTGCTGGCACCTCCACCTAGGGCTAGGCTGTTCCCTGGAGTTCAGGGAGATCTGCCTCCAGACAGAATCATAGAAGATCAGGGTTGGAAGAGACCTCAGGAGGTCATCTAGTCCCACCCCCTGCTCAAAGCAGGACCAACACCAACTAAGCATAGGTTGAGGAGGGGTTGGGGGATTTATCCCCTTTGCCTGCTAAATGCTGCTGACCAAGACTGAAATCTCTGCAGAGGACTAACGCACTCGTGACATGGTTTTGAGCTGTGGGTCGATTTCCCCTCAGTCCCCTGAGGTTTTTGTTTTATTTGAAATAACGATACCGGTGCCTCCACAAATGCGAATCCAGCTTCACAAACTCCTCCCCTCTCCGGGGTGTGGGGCCAATACCATTATCCCCATTGTTCAGATGGGGAAACTGAGGCATGGAGCGGGGGAGTGACTCACCCAAAGTCATGCAGTGAGTTACTGGTAGAGCTAGGATTAGACCCCAGAACTCCTGACGATGAGCCATGAGCTCAAACCACTAGACCGCACCCCCCTCGTTATGTATAAACGTTCCTGGCAGGGGGACGGGGGAGTTTTCATACTGGGGTGTCGCTCAGGCCCCCTCCGACGCCCCCCTCTCCATTGTCTTTCTCCGCAGGTGGTGCCTGGAGGGCTGCGCTCCAGCCCAGCTCCTCTCCCGTGGGGCAGTATGAATTTGACGTCCTCATCTCAGCTGGAGGAGGCAAATTTGTGCCTAAAGGTGAGGGCTTGCTCCCTTGTGAGCTGCAGCTAGCGTGTTCCCCTCCCTTCCAGCCTGGCTAGAGCGCGGCGGGGGGCACTCCATCTCCTCTGTTGCTTGATGTTCCTTCTCCTCTACCATGAGGGCAAGTACAGTCCCCACAGGGCTCGGGGGCTGATGGCGGGGCCTCTCTTGGGCCAGACGCACCCCCGGTACCCAGGGGCTGGCCAGCAGCATTGGCCGAGGAGGGGCCAGTGCTCGCCACCCTTCTCAGGGTGGCCGGGCTAAGGGAAAACAATGGAGCCTCTGGTCACGTCAGCTGGGCCGATGGGCCCCGGGACCCTGATCGAGTCTCTTCTCACGGGTGAGGGGGGCGGAGAGAGAGGCTGCAGGGCCTGCGTGGGAATGGATGGGGGTCGTTCTCTCTCGGCTCAGTTCCTCGTGGGTCCCCACCCAGTGGGGCTGGAGTCTCTCGGCCTGGGGCGGGCTGGGGGGGGGGGAAATGCAGCGCTCTCTGGAGCAGGGCATGTGCATGAGCCAGGCAGCTTGGAGCCACGGCTTGTACCGTGAAGGGTCTGAAATGCAGCTGCGGGGGAAACGGGGGAGGGGGAGAAGAGGCCTTGAGACAGGTCGGCTCCTGATAGCCGGCGCTGCTCACGCTACCCGCTGAGGCGTGCCCCGAACATCTGCAAGGCTGTGGCTGCAGGGCTGGCCAGCTGCTGCCTTAAAATGCATGTAGCATCATGCAGCGGGGCATTCCCAGTGCTTGCACCGGGGCCCCTACAGCCCAGAACTGCCTGGCCTCCAGGCCCGCCCCTTCCCTGAGAAAACCAAACAGCGGGGGACCTCCCTTCCTGGGCCACTGTCCCCCCAGTCTCCTAATGGTGCTTCCCTCACTCCCCAGCGTCTGTGCTGGGCCGGGAGCTCCTGGGGGCAGGGAGCGATTCCCCCTCAGTGCTCAGTAATCGGTACGTGGTCCTGCCCTCTGGCTGCACATTGCTAGCTTGGTGCTGGCCCAAGGAGGATGGGGGGTTCAGAGCTGGGGCTTGGTCCAGGCCCTTCTCAAACCCTGCTCCTGCCACGGCTGGCACTTGCTCCAGACGCAGCGCCCTGGATGTCGGGCTGGGTGGTTCTTGGAGCAGCCGAATAGCAGACAAGGACGCTGTGCCCCTGGGGGTATGTCCTGACCCTCGCCAGCCTGATTCGGCCTGCACCCCTCTTCTCTGCCTCCACACCCCACAGGCTTTTCCCTGCGCTGCCAATGTCCCCTTTCCTGGGGGCTAGGAAGGGCCCCAGCAGGCCTGACGGGCGCGGTGTCTGTGTCTGTCCCCAGGGTTCAAGCGGAAGGAGATGCGTGGGAAGCTGGCGATCGGCATCACCACCAACTTCGTCAACCGCCACAGCCGGGCCGAGGTGGAGGTCGCCGAGATCAGCGGTGTGGCCCGCATCTACAACCAGCAGTTCTTCCAGAACCTCTACAACAAAACAGGTTGGCAGGGCCTTCCCCCGTCAGCTAATCCCCTCCCCTGTGCATCCCCCAGGGCTGCAACAACCCGCACCCTGTCTGTCTGTGAATGGAGCAGGTTGTAGGGCAGCTGCCTGTTCTTGGACGGCATTCTCACGCCAGCTCTCTCGGCCCGGCTCCACCTCAACCCTCTGTTTATACCTTTGCCCCGTGCCAGGTATCGACTTGGAGAACATTGTCTACTACAAAGACGACACCCACTATTTTGTCATGACGGCCAAAAAACAGAGCCTGCTCAGAAAGGGGGTCATTGTCCAGGTGAGGGGGCCCAGCGTGGACGTGGGGAGGAGACTGGCCGCCGTGGGATGGGAGAGATGGGACCAGATAGCTGAGTTCACCAGGGCACCGGCTTGCGTTTCATGTGCCCAGCCTGTTGGAACATAAGGAACATGTACGTGTAGGCGTGGTGCATTGTGCTACCATCCCGGCGGTGCTTGCAAGGGCTGGGGGCAGTGCCTGGCTGGGAGGCCTCCAGAGGACAGAAATAGTGCTGGGGATTCGCTGAGGGGCACTTCTCTCTCTCTCTAGGGCATGGCTGGCCCACAAGCACTGGGAGTGACTGCCGCTCCAGCTGACATACCCGAGCTAGCTTTAACGCAGGTTGCTCGGGTCCCTGCCCGGCGGAGCTGTTTCAGTGTGTGAAGTTCCAGGTGGGTGTGTACAGCTCATGCTGCCATGGCTTCAGGGCTCCAGTACCCAAGCTAGCTAGATTAAACAGCTCAAGTTGCAGTCACGCTCAGGGGCTGCAGTGTAGACGTACCCTGGGCCAGTGCATCAGTCTGGTGCTAAGAGTAGAGTGCTGCTGGAAAGACCATTTTTCAGATGAGACCTAAAACGCAGGTGCCAACCACTAACGCTCTATGGAACTCCTTGCTGGAGTGGGTGTGTCCTGGCAAATTTCCATACAGGTGTTAAATCCTGCTGACCTACATCGCTCCTTGTGGTTTCAGTGGGATACGTTATGTCAAAGTTTGACTCAGGCTCACAATTTATCAGACCACTCTGTTTTATTAGCAAAGCTGCTCTGCTAATACATTTAGAAGTGAGCCCCCCGAGTGGGGCTTGTGTCTCTTAATTTATACAACTTGCTGGAGAACAAGTTACAGAGAAGTTACAGACAAAAGAAGAAAAAGATTTTAGTCACCACCCTTCGAGATCCCTGAGACCAGTCACGTATCTTCAATTACCTGCCACCCTTAACAATCTCCTTTAACAGCTTCCAGTTAACTTAACTAATTGCCCTTCACACCTTCCATTCTGATGCCTGCTTCTTAGACGTGCTGGCTCTATCTTAATTGCTTCTCCATTCAAAAGCTAACTGTCCCTACGTGTGCTCCCTCAGATACTTTGTAACATGTTTTGGCATGCCCTCTCATATACAATGTATCCAGCATGTCCCCTTATACAATGTTATACTTATACAATGTTATACTTCCACAGTTATAACTTTATATTTCCTGCCCATGCCTGTTGCTGTGTACTCTTATTCAGCTGCCATGTTCCACCTCAGAGGTGGCTGCATCTTGATAGGTGGTGAAGTGATCCCTTTGCTTTACAAACAAATACGCTTTTGGGCACCTGTGCCAGGAATCCCCTTTTGAGTAACACCCTGCCCCCCATTCCCGTAGGACAAAGCGGACATAGAGAGCTTGCTGTCTGCTGAGAACATCAGTCAAGAAGCCCTCCTCAGCTATGCCAAGGAAGCTGCCAACTTCTCCACCAACTACCAGCTGCCTGACTTGGAGTTCGCTCTGAACCACCGGAACTGCCCGGACGTCGACATGTTTGACTTCACCTGCATGAACCGCTCGGAGAACGCAGCCCTGGTACGCGAGTGCCACGGGGCCCGGCTGCTCATCGGGCTGGTGGGAGACTGTCTGGTGGAGGTCAGTGCCCGCCTAACGAGAGACGAACAGGTGTGGGGGCAGGGGAGGATGGGCTCTGGCCAGGATCCCTTTGCAGCCTCAGCTTGCAAGGCTGGAGGCATCTCCTTCCCTGAGAGTGTCCCCTTGGCAGCGCTGCCAGCCCAGGGGCAGAGTTTATGCAAACCCTAACTCTCCCCGTCAGGCAGCAGACTGGCCGGCCACACTCCCCACTCCCGCTCAGGGCAATGCTCGTGTTTCCCAGCTGTGGTGATTCTTCCCCTAACCCAAGACAGCATCTTCAAACACGTGCTGTAGCAATTGGGGCAGTGCGGGTGTCATGCCAGGAGCCCAAGGGCTGCTCCTGATTTAGGCCATGGCTTTATGCTTGGCCCGGCTAAGCCATGCTCTGCTGCCGTGACCTGCGCCACCATGGCTGTGCTGCTGTTCAGACTCACGCTAGCTCGATGAAAGCTAGCGTGACTGCGTGCACACGGACAGGGGAGCCCCACCCCTCACTCGCAGCGAAGGTGGAGCCTTATATAGCATGGAGCCGGCTAGTAGTTTGAGCAAGGGCTGAGTGTCAGGACTTTGGGTTGCCATTCCTGACCCCGCCTTGTTACGGAACATTCACCCCTGCGCGCCTCGGTTTCCCTCTCCGTTGAACTGGGATAACGACCACCCCTGTGAGGCCGAGCAGGTTGGTGAACGTGCGCAGTGCTGAGAGATCCCTAGCAAAAAGCCCTGTCCATGTGCAAAAGATGACTGGGCAGTGGGCCCCGAAGTGCTGAGACTACGGGTCCCAGGACCGGGCAGGGTTCTGTGTTGCCCGGCAACTCGCTGGAGCCTGGGGTCCCTGTAAGCTGCATCTGAGTCACAGGGCAGAGCCTGGCCGGGGTTTGGAAATTGTCCAGGCCTCGTTTCACTCGGCAGCTTCACACGGAGCTCTGTGCCTATGTCTCCAGTAAGCTTTTCTTTTCTGAGCCGCACCCTGCCCAGGGCCCCAGGCTCCGCTGAGTCTCTGGGCTGGATGCTGTCTCTGGATCGTGAGGCTGAGGGTCGTCCTTCCGGCCAACCAGGGAGCAAGCTGACTCTCTCCTCTAATCTCTCCCCTTTGTTTGGTCTGTAGCCTGGGGTCCCATCCTCGAGCTGGGCCCCATGGCTCTGTCCACTAGCAGCCCTTTGTCTGGGAGGGCTCAGCTCCCAGGCTGACACCCAGGTTCTGGTTTTTCGGAGGTCAGGGGTGGGAGTAAGGAGGGGAGAGGCTTGAAGCAGGAGCCCCCCAGATGCGTGCTTCCCTCTGCTGACCTGCAGCTCTGACTTCTTCCGTTGGCAGCTACCCAGTTTGGCAGCAGCTGTGTGAATGCTGAGCACTGTGTGAGAACCAGCGGCGAGTTATATGGGCCCATGCTGCCTGTGCTCCAGGAATATTCAGGGCCCGGGGGCCCAGCTCCACCAGTCTGTCCCCCGGCCCTGCCTGCTGCCCCATGGTGATTTAAAAGGGCCCCGGGGGCCCCCCTGCCGCCACCACCGGCAGCACAGCAGGGCTAAGGCAGCTTCTTGCCCAGCCTCGCTCCGTGCCACTCCCGGAAGGGGCCAGCACGGCCCTGGGTGTGTGTGTGTATGTCTCCGCACGCTGCCCCCATTCCGAGCGTCGACTCCGCAGCTCCCATTGGTTGGGAACTGCGGCCAATGGGAGCCGCGGGGGCGGTGCCTGTGGGCAGCGGTGCACAGAGACCCCTGGCCCTCCTGCCTAGGACCCACTGCAAGAGGGGTGTGTGGGTCGCTTTTGGGAGGTGCCCGAGGTAAGGGCTGCACCCCTCACCCTCTCCCACACCCCAACCTCCTGCCCCAGCCCAGAGCCTGCACCCAGCACCCAAACTCCCTCCCAGAGCCCGCACCCCTCCCACACCTGAACTCCCTCCCAGAACCTTAGGCAGGTGTGTGTGTCTGGTGGGGGGGACAGGACTTGGACCCATTCTGGGCACCACCAAAAATTATACAAACCTGCCACCCCTGAGAACCAGCCTGGGTGGTTCCCGATCACAGCACCAACCTTCCGGATCTGAGGAGCAGGTTGGTTTTTGTGCGTTCAATTGCGCTCGAAGCTGGAGGCTGTTGTGTGCCAGGGACCTCAGCCAGGACTCTGAAAATCCTCCCGTAGGGTTACTGAACACATGTGCAGCTCCCATCCCCTCCACTCTCTCTGTCTCGTGTTTTGTAGCCATTCTGGCCGCTGGGCACCGGTGTGGCGCGGGGTTTTTTTGGCCGCCTTTGACACTGCCTGGATGGTGAAAAGATGGGCAGCAGGAACCTCCCCACTGGACCTTCTGGCTGAGAGGTGAGGACTCTACTCCTGCAAGGGTGGGGACGGGGGCTGTTCACGGGTTCCAGATTGTGTGTGTTTGCTTGGTGCAGTACAAAAGCTATCAACCCTCATGCATCAGGGCACAAGCCAACCTCTAACGATAGAGGGTCAGGAGGAAACTTCCCCTGGGGGCAGGTAATCCCATAACTGCAGGGTTCTTGCACCTTCTTCTGAAGCAGCAGGTGCTGGCCACTGTTGCAGCCAGGATACCAGTCTAGATGGACCCCTAATCTGGCAATCCCCGTGTTCTTAAATGTAAAGACAATCCCTGCTTTGGAGAACTTAGTGCCTTTGTACAGCAGGAAGGATACGGCACATCAGGTGCTCAGAGCACAAGGCGTCCTTAGATCCATGTGGCTCAGCTGTTTTGAGCCCCCTGCAAGGAAGAGACCTAGGAAGCGTGGCTGCTGTGAGGGGCTGGGTCAGGGCAATGTGGAGCCTTTCACTTCTAGATCACCCCCCGGAATCTGGCCCAGGGCAGTAACGGTGGCTGTCTGGTGCCCTGTGTGAATTGAGTTGGGTCTGTCTAGTTCCTAGTGGACAGGTGTCTGTGTGGCACAACTCACATGCACAACGGCAGCCTCAACAGAGAGGGCAAGGAGTGACTGAGTTCCCTTCTGGCTCCTGGAGGGGTCCCTGCATGGTTGGGCTCGGGCGTGGGGGAAGTCTGCACTGTTCCTGCTGACAAATAAAGGACTTTGGTCTCAAGCTGGCACCTTTGCTTAGCACTAAATTCAGCCCTTCTCAAGACCATTGACTGCCAGGAAGTGCCTGATTGCAGGTTGTGTCTTTAGAGCTGTGGTGTCTGTCTAGATCACTCACACTCTGAGCTCTTAAGAGCATAAGAACGGCCAGACTGGATCAGACCAATGGTCCATCTAGCCACTATCCTGTCTTCCGACAGTGGCCAGTGCCAGGTGCTTCAGAGGGAATGAACAGAGCAGGGCAATTTTGAGTGATCTGTCCCTGGTCATCTGCTCCCAGCTTCTGGCAGCTGCAGGGTTAGGGACACCCTCACCGTCTTGGCTAATAGCCATTGATGGACCTATTCTCCATGAACGTATCTAATTCTGAGCCCAGTTATACTTTTGGTCTTCACACCATCCCCTGGCAACGAGTCCCACAGGTTGACTGACTGCGTTGGGTGAAGAAAAACTTCATTATATTTGTTTTAAACCCGCTCCTACTAATGTCATCCGGAGACCCATAGTGCTTGTGTTATGTGAGGGGTAAACAACACTTCCTTCTTCACTTTTTCTCCACACCAGTCATGATTGTATAGACCTCTATCATCTCTCCCCCCTACCCCCAGTCGTCTCTTTTCTAATATGAACCTTCCCAGAGTTTTTAATATCTCTTCACACGGAAGCTGTTCCATTCCCTTAATCATTTTTGTTGCCCTTCTCTGTACTACTTCTTATTCGAATATATCTTTTTTGAGATGGAGTGACCAGAACTGCACACAGTATTCCAGGTGTGGGTGGGCCATTGATTTGTACAGTGGCATTATAATATTTTCTCTTTTATTATCTATCCCTTTCGTTAGGGCTCCTAACACTCTGTTTGCTTTTTTGATTGCTGCTGCCCGTTGAGCAGAGAACTCTCCACAAGGACTCCAAGATCTTTCTTGAGTGGTAACAGCTAACTTAGACCCCAACATTTGATCTGTATCGTTCGGATTATGTTTTCCACTGTGCATTACTTTGTATTTATCAACATTGAATTTTATCTGCCATTTTGTTGCCCAGTCACCCAGTTTAGTGAAATCCCTTTGTAGCTCTTTGCAGTCTGCTTTGGACCATTTATTCCTACCTTTTTTTCTGTCTTTTAACCAGTTACTGGTCCATGAGAGGACCTTCCCTTCTACCGCATGACTGCTTAATTTGTTTTTAAGAGCCTTTGGTGAGGGACCTTGTCAAAGGCTTTCTGAAAGTCCAAGCACACTATATCCACTGGATCACCCTTGTCCACATGGTTGTTGACCCCCCTCAAAGAATTCTAATAGATTGGTGAGGCATGATTTCCCTTTACAAAATCTGTCTTCACTCTTCCCCAAACATCACTCTGGGATGTATTAGCAGGAGTGTTGTAAGCAAGACACGAGAAGTAATTCTTGCACTCTACTCCGTGCTGATTGGGCCTCAACTGCAGTATTGTGTCCAGTTCTGGGAGAGACATTTCAGGAAGGATGTGGACAAATTGGAGAAAGTCCAGAGAAGAGCAACAAAAATGATTAAAGGTCTAGAAAACATAACCTATGAGGGAAGACTGAAAAAATTGGGTTTGTTTAGTCTGGAGAAGAGAAGACCAAGAGGGGACATGATAACAGTTTTCAAGTACATAAAGTTTGTTACAAGGAGGAGGGAGAAAAATTGTTCTCTTTAACCACTGAGGATAGGACAAGAAGCAATGGGTTTGAATTGTAGAGGAAATGGCGGTTTAGGTTGGACATTAGGAAAAACTTCCTAACTGTCAGGGTGGTTAAACACTGAAATAAATTGCCTAGAGAGGTTGTGGAATCTCCATCATTGGAGATTTTTAAGAGCAGGTTGGACAAACACCTGTCAGGGATGGTTTAAATAATACTTAGCCCTGCCATGAGTGCAGGGGACTGGATTAGATGGCCTCTCGAGGTCCCTTCCAGTGCTATGATTCTATATCATGTTCATCTATATGTCTGATAATTGTGTTCTTTACTATAGTTTCAACCAATTTGCCTGGTACTGAAGTCAGGCTTACTGGCCCGTAATTGCCAGGATTGCCCCTGGAGCCTTTTTAAAAAATTGGTGTTACATTAGCTATCCTCCAGTCATCTAGTGCAGAGGCTGATTTAAGCGAGAGGTTACATACCACAGGTAGTCGTTCTGCCATTTCAGATTTGAATTTCTTCAGTCTTGGGTGAATCCCAACTGGTCCTGCTGACTTATTATGGATTAATTTATCAGTTTATTCCAAACCCTGCTTAATCTGCAACAGTTCTTCAGATTTGTCACCTAAAAGGAATGGCTCAGGTGTGGGAATCTCCCCCACATCCTCTGCAGCAAAGACTGGTGCAAAGAATTCATTTCGCTCGTGTACAACGGCCTCGTCTTCCTCACGTGCTCCTTTAGCACCTGGGTTGTCCAGTGGCCCCACTGACTGTTTGGCAGGCTTCCTGCTTCTGATGTACTTTAAAAATGCACTGTTGGTTTTTGCATCTTTAGCTACTTGCTCTCCCAATCCTCTCCTGGCCTGCCTCATGATGCTTTCCCACTTGACTTGCCAAAGTTTATGCTCCTTTCTATTTTCCTCTTCTGAACCCTCCGTTCCTTTACCTTCCTCACTTTTGAGATCAGTGGCGGAGGAACGTCCGTGTTTAACCTGGCTCGTTTCCTCTGTGCAGGGAGAGCATCTACCAGCAGCTGTCTCAAACGTCCCCCGACAACACCAACAAAAACACCAGCCAGTACAGCATTGACCCTACTACTCGCTACCGCAACATCAACCTCCAAGCCATAAAGCCCAACCAGGTAACTCGTCCAGGCCAGACGGAGATCCCGCCCTGCCGGGGCTCCTTGCGGCTGGTGTCAGAAGCACCAGCCCTTGTTCCTAAAGCCATTTCTCTCTCCCTGCCTGGTTTGTTACCTCCACCAAGGGATAATTGTGTCCACTTGGCCGACATGGCGCTGCACACTCCTGGGAACTGAACACGGAGTGAGGTCTCTGCTCTGTTCTCATAGGAATGATGGGATAATCCAAGTTGTAACCTCACACCCCATATTGATTCCACCCGGCTGTTGCCCTCTGCCCCAGGGACAGGTGTATATCTGCACAGCTTGAGAGCCGGTGGGTAGTAGAGGAATGAACCATGAATCCACGATGCAGCTGACTGTGCACAGGCCCAGTAAGCAAGCGAATGCAGCCAGCTCTGGGGAAGAGCCAGCGGTGAGCTGCACAGGTCGCTAGCCAGCTTGGTCTCAGAAGGAGAGAGGGCATGGCTGGGTGCTCTGTCAGAGGGCCGCACACTCCTTGTGTTCCCTCTACTGGGGTTTTGACCTCCCTTCACCGGGACCGGAGGCCTTTTCTTCTGCAGATTGCCTTGTCCTGCAATGTCAGTAACCGCTCTCGGGGTGTCTGTCTCTGCAGGTCCGTGACATGTATGTGGTGGGGATGATCGAGATCGACCATAAGAAGAGAAACAGTCGTGAGAGCACAGGCAAGTCTGGGGGGCCCCACCCCTGGGCATCCAGCTGGATGGATCCCCCCACAGACCTGCTTTCCACCCCGTGCATGCATCGCCCTCCTCACCTTGGAGAAGCAGCGGCTGGTGGAGCTTCCCCCACCACCCAGCCTCGGTGCTGGGTGCCTGCCTGACTTTTTGCTCCCTTTTCTGTCGGGCTTTCCACCCCTATCGCTGACTTTCCTGGCGCCCTTTCTCCATGTGCCCGCTTATACCCAAGCCTTGGGCGTTTGGCTGAGGCTTGGTGCCCCCGGGGTGGGACTTTGTGCACCCTCTGGCTCCTCTTTTAGATCCTCTCCTGTCTTCTCCTCCCCAGGGCGCCCCCTCTTTCCTCCTGCCCCACTTCCGCTCACCCCAGCAGCGTCCCAGGAGCCTTTGGGGGCCAGAGTGTCCGAGTGCTGCAGAGGGGTGGGGAGCCGGGCATGGGGACTGTGGCTCCCTCCCTGGAGGGGACATGAGCAGTTCTTCCCTCATTTTTTGGGAGGTGGCCTTGGGAGCCACTTGAACCTGTCCTCGGCTGGGCTGGCAGGCTGAGTCTGGGCACGCTGTCGCCTCAGCAGCAGCTAACAGGAGACACGGTCTCCCCGTCCTCTCCATGAGCCCTATGCCCTTGCTCCCACGTTCTGCGGCCCAAGGAAGCGACCCACCTGCTGCCCCCTGCCCCCCAAGGCCCTTGATGGAGGTGATTGTAGGTTTCCCAGCTCCGATCCCCTGGCTGCTCCCTTTTACAGCTGTGCCCCACCCCAGTCCCAGCCCCGTGCCTTATCCTCTCTCTCCTCCAGACGTCGGCAGGGCCTACGAGGAGCTCCTGAGCTGGTGCCAGACCCACACGGCGGGTTACCGCGGCGTCACGGTGACGGACTTCACGCACTCCTGGAAAAGCGGCCTGGCCCTGTGTGCCCTCATCCACCGCTTCCGGCCCAACCTCCTGTAAGGCTCCTGTCCCCGTGGCTTGGGGACGGGAGGACGACCCCGGCTGGGCTGCCACACAACACTTGGCCCCGGGCTGGGAGCGTGTGTGTCCCTGCGGTGGCTGCCGCTGGGAATTCCTAGGTGCCGGTTTGCGGGGGGGGATGATGTGTGTTTCGTGGCGGCTGGATGGTGCCTCCTACTACCCCACCCTGCACCCCCAAGCCTCTAGTTCCCGCCACAACCTGACCTTTGGCCCCCCCGCCCTTGCTGAATGTTGCTGTATTTGGCCCAATGGATGATCCCCCCCCGCCCAGTGCCGAGGGGTGCTTCTTCCACAGAGGCTGCTTCCATATGCGGTCAGCGTGGGGGGCATGAGGCAGGCGTGCAGCTGCCTGACTCTCGTGTGCTTAGTTTGTTCCTTCACCGGACAAGGAGGGGGAAATCTGAACCGGGTTCGCCCCTGGCCGCCCTAGCTCCTGAGCAGGCATCGCTGGCTTTCCCTCTCCCTCAGCCTGACACCCTGTTTCTGTCCCTAGAGATTTCAACTCCCTGGACCAGCACAGTCCCATCAAGAACAACCAGATGGCCTTGGACATCGCCGAGCAGGAGCTAGGCATCCCGCCCGTCCTCTCCAGCACTGAAATGGCCTCCGTGGCCGAGTCCAACCAGCTCGGACTCATCACCTACCTGAGCCAGTTCTATGAAGCCTTCAAGTCTTCTGCAAGTGAGGATCCTCAGGGGCTCCAGGGCTGGATCTCTGGGGGTATCCGCTCCCAGCCCTGCATCTGCTCTCCCCCAGCCATGGTCAGGATAGTCAGGGTGGGAAGGACCGGGGGGCGCTGGGCTGGACTCTGGAGTTGGCTGCTGAGCGATTCCCTTTGCAGGGGACTCTCTGGTTTGAAATGGACAGTGGGGATCAGGGAGTTGGTTTTCCCCATCTCGATTTGAGTTTCCCCCAACCCTGGGGGCTTATGTGACCTGTGGGGCAGGCTGTGCACCCTGCCCCGTGCGGACAGAGGAGGAGCCACTGGCGGAATGATCCTGTTTTGGGGGGCTGGAGGGAGGGGTTCTTCTGCCTTGCTCTGGGAACCTAGTCGAGGCCCTGTGCAGTGCAAGTCTCTCTCGTGGTTGGAGCGGGCTGCGAGCCAGCAAGGCAGGTCCCAGCACCCTGCAGAATTAGCTCCCCGGGCAGGCTGTTACCTCCAGCGCACCTGCCAGCCTCTGGAGCGAGAGCTGGACTTGAATCCTGGCCTCTCCTGTGTTGGCAGGGAGCCCAGCTATCAAACACAAAACGCTCAGCTCCCGCATCTGCACGCTGCAATTCGCAGCTCTAGGGAGGCCTGAAGATTGCCCCCCTCCTCCGCTGGCTGGAGGGGTTGCGGCTGAGATGGCACATGCTCCCTTTCCGTGGCATCCTGCCGAGGAACGTGGCCGGCCCGTGCGCTAGCTGCCAGGCTGGGCCCGGACCCAGTCACGAGCCTGTTTTCTCTCCCTTGCAGAACCAGAGGAGAGAGTGGGGAAGCTGCTAGCTCCTCCCAGCACCCGGGGAGCCGTCCTGTTCCTCAGCAAGCTCCAGAAGAGTCTGAGTCTGACTCGCAAGCGCAACCAGGTAAATGCTCCGAGTGTCTCCCGCTACACAGCGGGTGCTGTCCCCGTCTACGGCCCAGGTGCTCACGAGGTCCTGGACGAGGTGTCCGGCACCCTGAGCCAACCCACTCCTGGTAACACACATGCCTGCAGCTGGCTCTGGTGACCTGGCACTGTTCCCTCCCTGAGCTGCCCCGGGTGGGCTGGGGGACCCTACTGGTGCGAGGGGAGCGGAGGAACGAACACGGCTCTACCATAGGCCCAGAGCGTCCTCCTGCCGCAGCGTCTCACTCAGGGAGCCCCGTCTGTGATTTCAGGACAGTGCCCAGCAGGACGCCAAGACCAAGAGGACGAGGAGAGAAGCAGGGGTGAGTTTCCCTGCTCTCGTCAGCATATGTGGCCGGGGCCAGTTTAGGAGCTAGGACACGGGGGATGTCGTATGAAAGACCTGGGCCCCGGGGCTTGTCACGCTGTGAGGGCAGCAGGTTGCGTCCCAGGGAAGGGAACGCTTTGCGTTGCTCAGCAGTGGCCTCTCTGGCTGCCTTGAGCGGTGGGAACCGGCGCTGGAGGGAGTTTTATTATGGAGAGTGTAGAGGGGGTGATGTCCAGGCACCAGCCCATGATCTGACATCTAGGCACTGAAATCTGTGTCCATTAATCTCCTCGCCTTCTCTGGAGCCATTGCCCCAGTTCCAGAAGGGCACGTGGGCATCTGCTTCAGCGTGTGGGTGAGTGTGATGCTCTGAGGCCCGTGGCTGTGCAAGGAACACGTGTGCAATGTCTGGATGGATCAGATCATGGCCGACAGATCGTACACATGCATGTGCAGGCCACAAGCCCCTTCTGGCCCAAGGACACGCATGTAAGGGAGGGGCTCCTGTAATAGTTACTGCAGAGGCTGCTGGCCCGCTCGCTGGCCGTAGTCATGTGTTTCGCTTTCCCCCGTTGGGTTGCTGTATAGGTGGAATCAGGGGTGGGAGGCGACTTGTTCATCGCTGACCTTGGCCGGGGGACAAACCGCCAGGAGCAGCCTCAACCCACCAAGACCAGCGCTTCCGATTCCACGCTGGGCAGGCTGCAGGTTAGTCTCCACTTCCCAGGAACCGTCTGTCACACCAGCCGGGGTGGCTGGGCGGGTGGCCAGGCATCGCCTGCGTTTGCTGTGACAGGGCTGGGGGGCTTGTGAGGGAAATCCCAGCTCAGTTTAAAGAGCTCCAAGGGTGGGTCCTGAAGCAAGGAGCCATCTCCCTGCGCCGCTGGTTTGAATCTGGGCCAGACTGGTGGTGCCTGGAGTATTTCGAGGAGCGGAGCCGAGCATTGCAGTGGGTGAGGGGACATCTACGCTGAAGATGTGAATTCCAGCTCGAGGAGACGTACCCGCTCCAGCCGGGGTTGAGCTAGTGTGCTAAAAACGGAGTACAGATGTCTATGCAGCAGGAGGGGCTGGCCACCTGAGGAGGTGCCTAGAGGCTCAAGGGGGAATGTACCTGGCAGGGGAGCCTGTTGGCCCAGCGGGGCTATGTTCTAGCCCGAGTACGTCTCCTCTAGCTGGAATTTACACCTCCCGACCCAGTGCAGATGGACCCGTAGTGCCAGGCCCCGGGGGGGCTGTACTAGGTAGGGTTGGGTGGGATGGGGCTGTGCAAAGCCATGCTCGCAGGGAGGGACCCCTCTAAGCTCCTCTCCACCAGTGACTAGCCATTTCCATCCTCCTGCCTGTGTTCCTATGCCGGGTTCTGCTATCCCCACTCCGGAGCTGTCACAACCTCCCTCAGGGCTGTGGCAAGCCGGGGGTGGAGCCCTAGTCCAAACTCACAAACAGGGAGCCCAGCACAGTTCGGGCCTCACGGGCAGCTGGCACTCGGGTGGGCCCATCAGGGTTACGAGTGAGTAGCTCAGGGCAGCTGCTGGCCTGGCCCCAAGGCTGTCTGGCTTCCTCCGCAGAGCTCGCTCACCTCCCCCACGGAGAGCAGTGACGCCTGTTACTTCTGCGGCAAGCGGGTGTACATCCTGGAGCGGGTCAGCGCCGAGGGGCACTTCTTCCACCGAGGCTGCTTCCAGTGTCATCAGTGTGGAACCACGCTGCGCCTGGGGGACTTCGCCTTCGACGAGGATGACGGTGGGTCCCAGGAACAGGGCTGGGTACAGAGACGAGCCCTGAGAAACGACAGGCCTGGGGCAGTCTGGGCTTCGTGATCCAGCCAGGCAGCTCCCAGAGCTGCCTCGTAACAAGCCCTGCCAGTCTTGAGTCAGCTGAGTCCACCTATCCCAACGGAAAGGTGGCTCCATGCGGCTGAGTACGTGAGAACCACGTAACCAAGGCCCTGTCTGCTCTGCGCAAAGGGTTGTGCCGGTGTCTTCATCGGGATTTCCCACCCGCTGCCTACTTTAAAATTCCAGGGACTTAGTCTCGTATTCGCCGAGTTTTATGAACTCACTAAACTATTCATCATGGCAGAGCACCAGCAATTCCATGTAGGATATTCTGTATGGCACTTGCCCTAATGCTACATCGGTGCAAAAACACATGTGACTAGCAGAGACCAGCTGTGGGGAGGAAGGTCCGAGTTAAAGACTGGGGCAGTAAGAAATGCAGGCCTTCCGCCTCCCAGCTCCGTTAAGTTTACAGCCTGCTTTAAAGCGTCCACTTAAAATCATGTGATAAACCACTATCTTCACCTACCTTACTGAGAACTTGCGGTTTTTAAAAAGGAAGAGAGCTGTAAAATCCAGTCTACCTGTCACTGTTCCTGCTGTTTGCTTCCCGAATCTTTGCATTTCTTGCAGCGTGGCCGATAAGAACCAGCCAATGTCAGTTTCCTTTTTGTTTGAGGGTATGTCTGTATTGCACAAAAGTTGTGTTCTTTAATTTGGGCTAAAGCAGCGTGAAGATGCAACAACTGGGCTGCTCACTTGGGTTAGCAGCTCAGGGTAAAGCCCATCGGGCCGCCTGGGATTGGACTCAAGCGGCTAACCTGAGATGCTGGGTCCACACTCCAATTTTAACCTGAGTTAGCCAACATGAGTTATGAATACGCTTTTTTTTTTTTTTCCAGCGTAGACAAACCCTTCGTCAGTTTCCTGCCCAGGTTTTTAGCCCTGGGAGATATTTGCCTGTCAAACAATGGCAGGGGGATGTTTGCTTAAAAACAACTGTTTTCAGTAGACAATAGTTTAAAAACCAGCCACATGGCACATTTCTGCTGGCTGTAGGGTTTATAAAAGCTGCTTTTGTGTGTTTAATGTAGTTACTCTTGGGATAACCAGAATCTCTGAACGGACACATTGTTTTCTTCCCTAAGGATTGAGACAGTAACAAAGAGAGAGGAACACAGCAGAGCTGACGCAGTGTAGGAGGGGAGCTGCAGTAAGCAGACGAATCCTGATTAGAAAAGTCGTGTGACTTATAATATTTATATATTTAATCCATTTCAACCCATTTTTGCCACCTCCCCTCGGATTCCGCTGTTAATCTAATACAGGCAGGAGGTTGCTCCATTTCTCTTAATTCTTTTATTCTGATCCCCTCCAGGTGGTGGTTGTTACTGCAACCCTAGATCCTGACCCTACCCTACCCTTACCCCTCAGCTTTGATTATTTATTATTTGCATGGCCTCAGGGCTCAGGAGCCCAGTCATGCCCCATTGCGCTAGGTGCTGTACAAACACAGAGCAGAGAGACAGACTGTAAGCTCCTTGGGGCAGGGGCTCAGTATAAGACAAGGGACGTCAGATGGGGGAGGACAAGGTAACAATGAGATGCTGTTGACCATTGTGGAAGGCGGTGGCCTCTGCCCACTAAGTCGGCCCGTTGAAATCAGTGGTGGTAAACCTGTGGTAAAGGCGAGGGAGGGTAGCAGAGGAATCTGATCCATAGCGATGAGAGCATGGGGCTGAGTGCGAGTTGGCAGCATCCCCACGAGTCCTCCTATGACGCTGCCTGGTTTCCCTCCCCAGGACACTTCTACTGCATGCTGCACTATTCCAGCCCCCGTAGCATGGAGGTGCCGGACAGCGGGTCCCAGGCTGCACCACATGAGGTAAGTGGGACCCCCGCCGCAGCTGCACCATTGGGGATGTGTCCAGCACTGGCCGGCTGGGCCCGTCCCTGCAGATTTAGCCCTGTCCAGTAGCAAAGCAATAAATGGGCTCTGGGCTGATCTGGTAACAAGCTAGCAAATGCAGTTCTCCATGGCGGCTTCCCAGCTGCGCTTCTAACCCTCGGCATTTGGCCCCTGCTAGGACCCCTCCCAGGGCGCCCGATTCTGCTCTCCCTCCGACACCAGCAGCCTGGGCTTGGCCACTGAGGCGGCAAAGCTGAGAGTGGATTCTGATGAGCAGGGCCCTCCTGGGAGCCCGTCCGCCTTCCCGAAACAGCTGGCAGCGGATCAGCCTTCAGAGCCGTGGGAGGGAGCTGCAGGAGCCGGGGAGGGCGGCGTCCCAGCCAGAGAGGACAGAGGCGCTGGCATGGCAGACATGCAGCAACCTGCTGCTCTGCCCTGCACTGTGCTGGCGGAGGATATGGGAAGGCCCGTCTCCTCCCATACGGCAGGCAGGGCCCAGCCTCAGGACCCTGGGGCTGGCCGAGGAGATGGGGTCAACGGCTGGTCTCAGCAGGAGGAATGCAGCTCGGGTGCAGCACTGTGGCAACCCACCCCAGGGCCTCCAGAAAAGGGGCCCGCACCCCCCGGCTTCAGGCAGGCCGAGGAGGAGGGGGAAGACACCAGGAAGAGGAAGAAAATTCAGCTGTCACCCTCGGAAAAGCTCAAGCTGTCCACGCTCAGCCTGGACTCCGAGACAGAGAGCCAGGAGGGTCCTGGGACGCACCGGGCAGGCTCAGAGCCGTTGCGAAGCGCCGTCCCGGCGAAGGACCAGGGTGCTCCAGAAAGAGGGCAGGTCTGCTGGGCTGAGCCCAGATTCAGCGAGGAGGCCGAAGGTAATTCCCGCCTCTGAGTCTCTGGTGCAGCTGAGTGCTCAGTTATCTAGCCAGGCTGTGAACTCCCCTCCCGCCTCTCCTCCAGCACCATGTGTCTAGATGCTTTCTCCCTCTTCCCCAGAGCACCTGTGGGTGCCCCCAGGAGTTACAGGGCAGAAAGCTGCCGTGGTGGTGGCTGATCTCCCTTTGCCTGCAACTATACTGCACAAGGCTGGAATTGAGGCCCAGGAATTTGGGTGGGTCCAGAGTGGCCTGTGAAGGCTCCTTCCCCTGCTGCTACTGTCTGAGGTGCTGTGTGAGGCGAGGGGGGTGGGTCACAACCCAGTTCCTCGTGGACAGGCACCCAGCTCACAAAACCCACCATCACGCTTGGTTCCAACTGGCTCCCCAGCCGGCAGACTCGGGCCCTGAACGAGCCATGGAGAAGCCTGGCCAAATGAGACTGAATGTGCTGTTCCCATTGCCAGCCAGTTCCCCGCTCTGAGCCCTGATGTTCTGGGTATCTCGGGTCCACCAGCGATTTACAGCTGGGAAGGCGAGTTGTACCACTGATTGCCAGGGGACCTGCCCAGGGTTAGTCCTAAATCAACTGCTCTTCTCTGCCCAGACATAGAGGAGACTGACAGTGATGGTGAAGAGGAGGAGGAAGAGGAGGAGAGCCAAGATCTTGGATACTTAACAAAGAAGGTGAGTGTGATGAGTCTGAAGTCCATAGAGGTGTTCATGCAACAGACTAATACTAATGTGGCTACGTGGGTGTGACTGTGGGGCTAAGAGGACTCGCCCAGGGGCCCTGTCTACACTACAAGGTTTAACTTGCAGTAAGTGGGTCCCAGACTCTGTCTCGCCCTCCCCCCCTTGATCACTTTTCCTTCTGCCCTAAACTTCACCTGGTCTAACTAGATTGTAGGCTCCCTGGGGCAGAACCCTGCCTCTTGCTTGTTACTAAAGGGCTGGCTGGTGGGCGATGCTTTAAGAACAATAAAGAATAATCGTGGCTCATTCAATCAGCCCCAGGCCAAGGCCAGCCCGAGTCTCTCAGGGCTTTGTGGCTGCTCTGTTGAGCCCCATGGGACATGTGCCCCCTTCTGACCCTGGCTCTTGTGCTGTGCTTCCAGTGTCTCCTAAGTTTGGGCGAAAAGGAAAAATATTCCACCTTGAAGAGAACGCTGACCCGCCGCGCCAAAGAGGCAGAGATGAAGAGGTTCTGCAAAGCCCAGGTAATGCCCATGCCCTGGAGCTGGGGGGAGAGGGGGCCCCTACCCACTGCCTGTCCTAGTAAGGAATGACGGGGGTGGGAGAATCTCCAAGAGTCACTGCAGACACTGGGCTAGGACAGCTCTCAATAGGCCAGTTCAGAGCTTCCTCAATACCAGCCACCATACTGTCAGGGATTTTCTCAGTCTGGTCTTCTGTTCCTGTCTACACCAGTGGCTAGAGCTAGGAACCTAGAAATGGCTGCATGAGAACAGACCAACGGTCCATTGATCTAGTCCCAGTGAGTAACGCTGGATGTTTCAGTGGAAGACGAACCCCTCACCATCCCCACTGATAGTGTATGCAATTGTGCATCATCCATTTAACATGTTGTGTTAACTCCTGAAGTTTCTTGCTAACATTCCTCCCCCCAGCCCCTCCCATTATTCACTCACTCTCTTGGGCATTGATTTGGAGAATAGACTGGAGAGGGTGCTTATAAAATTTGCAGATGACACCACACTGGGGAGGATTGCAGGCACTTTAGAGGCCAGGATTAGAATTCAAAATGACCTTGACAAATTGGAGAAGTGGTCTGAAATCAACAAGATGAAATACACTCAAGACAAGTGCGAAGTACTTCACTTGGGAAGGGAAAATCAAATGCACAGCTAGACAGTGGGGAATAGCCGGCTAGGGGGCAGTCCTGCTGAAAAGGCTCTGGGGGTGATAGTAGATCACAAACTGAGAGTCGTCACTGGGGTGCAGCTGTGAAAACGGCTGAGGCGTGTTAACGTGAGTGCTGTAGTAAGACATGGGAGGTAACTGTCCCGCTTTACTCAGCAGGAGACCTGGGTCCTATTCGGGGCGCCGCGCTTTAGGAAAGATGGGGACAAATTGGAGAGAGTTCAGAGGAGGGCAACGAAAATGCTAACAGGCTTAAAAAACCTGACCTGTGAGGGAAGATTAAAAAACAAATACTGGCATGTTTAGTCATGCAGGGGGATCTGATAACGGCCTTCAGATATGTGAAGGGCTGTTAGGAAGAGGACAGTGATCACTTGTTCTCCGTGACCACTGACGGGCGGACGAACGGCAGTGGGCATCATCTGCAACAAGGGAGAGTTAGGCTGGCTATTAGGAAAACTCCCTAATCACAAGGGTAGTTACGCTCTGGGACAGGCATCCAAGGGGGGTTGTGGAATCCCCGTCACTGGAGCTTTTTAAGAACAGGTTGGTCAAACTCCTGTTAGGATTAAGTTTACTTGGCCCCACCTCAGTGCAGGGGGCTGGACTCAGTGACCTCTCGCGGTCCCTTCCAGCCTTGCATTTCTATGATTCTACGACAGGGCTTCTGGGCTCCGTTCCCAGCTCTGTGGCTGACTTGCTGTGATCTTGGCCTAATCCCCAAGCTCTGTGCCTTGGCTAGCTGCAGTTTACAGATGGGGAAAGTTAATGCCTCCCTCGCAGGGGTGCTGAGCTTTACATGATTAAAGGTGCTGTACAAGGGCGACATTATTATTAATTCCTGGGGAAGTTCCTGGCTGCTGAGAATTGGCCCTTGGCATCTGTTCCCCCTGGCCAGCAGCTGGAGAGGTCATAATTTGACGCTTCCCCAGAGGTTACAGTTGATAGGAAAGGAAGACAAAGTATCCAAGTGACCTTTCCCCGGTGCATTCCAGTCCATCCAGAGGCGTCTGGAGGAGATTGAAGTGACGTTCCGGAAGCTGGAGGAGAAGGGGATAAAGCTGGAGAGATCACTGCGGGGCGAAGGAGGTAGGAGGGATCCCCACGTACCAGTGCCTGCAGACAGGCACCACTAGGATGCCCTGTCTCAGTGTCCCACGGGGACCGGTATCATCACCCCAACCCCCATTCACCAGCCCTTGTCTCCGGATCAGTGACATCCAGTTTGTCTCTGGGGCGCCTCTCTGTCCTACCCATGCAGTCTCCCCTCTTCCCCTCCGCCCCCAGGGACCCAGTCTGAGCTGAAGACCCAGTGGATGAACCAGTTACTCTCTCTGGTGCAGAAGAAGAACAGTCTGGTTTCCGAGGAGTCGGACCTCATGATTGAGTAAGACGCGGTTGTGTGTGTCTGGGGGTGGTACACTGGGATTCATTGGATCAGTGCAATTCAGTGCTCCTTCAATAGCCCCACCTATGCTCTGCCCCCGACCTGCCCCAGCCAGGATTGTCTCTAACAGTCCCAGCAGCTGCCCTTTTAAACAGAACTGCAGAGAAACCCTTCCTCTTCCACTAAAATTGAGTAGCCTGCAATGTGCCTGTCCCTGACCAGTGGCATGGTCTGATGCCCCAACGGTGGAAGTGAGAGGAGCTCTATCCATTAGAAAGGCCAGGGCTCTTCCTTGCTGGGGGATGGTATCTAGCTCTGGCCAGATTCAAGACTGAACCTTAAAATCCCAGCAACCCATCGCAGTGGCCTAAAATGGCGGTTTCTATTTTCCAGCGTGCAGCTGGCCTCCCCCTCACTTGCATCTCCCCAGCCAGCGGAGGGTGACATGAGCTCCCCCTTTTGTGCACAAAGTTGTTACACGTACGTTATGCCAAACGTGCTTACAGTATTGCCCAGTTCCAGCCACCCCAACGTCCTGCCAATCCACCCACCCAGCCGGGAGCGTTACCAGCCTCCGTAAATGCACCTGCTGCCTCTGAGAGAGAGAGAGACCCGGGGCAGAGGACTTCCTTCAGGCTCTTGCTCTGGGGAGTGGAGATCTGCCCAATAGTAAAGGCCCACGGGCTGCTGCAGTCCCGGCCCTGGGGTCTGACACAGCTCTTATTTTCTCCCCCTGCAGGGTGCAAGGGCTGAAGCTGGAGGAGAAGCAATGCCAGCTGGACCAGGAACTGCGGCGGTACATGAACATGGAAGGTGAGAGGGAGCATGGCCTTGCGCCTTCCTTTTCCGGGCGGTCTGGTCACACGCGCAGGCGCCTGGGGAACGGAGGCACGAGGCAGCACGGCTCCTTCCTGCCTCGCCAGTGGAAACGGGACGGTGGCACAAGCGATCGGCACGACTGGATGTGATTCCGGACATCCTCCAACCAGAGGGCTCCTGGCGGCCTGTCTCTGATTGCTGCTTCCCTTGCCCCCGCTGGGAAGCAGGAGGCTCCTAAGCGCCAAGTCGATTCACTTTTCTGGAGCAGTGCAGATGAGCAGGGCAGTTGCATCCCATTCAGCCTGAATATGTGTCCTGCCCCCCTCTGCTCCCGTATCGCTGCAGGGAAGGAGGGCGTCTGTGCAGAGGGACAGATTTCCCTGCCACGCGGCCTTGGCTTGCACCGCACAGCGCCTCGGGGCGGGAGAACCGAGGTCGCAGGGCGTGCGAGGCACTCACTCCCTGCTCTGTTCCTGCAGAGACGCTGAAGATGCCCCAGGACAGGCTGGCGGAGAAGGAGATCCTGGCCCAGCTGCTGGAGGTGGTGAACCAGCGAAACGCCCTGATCCATGTGCTGGACGAGAAGCGCCTTAGCGAGCTGAGCGAGGCTTTCCCAGGGTCGGCCTGATGAGCCGCCGGCCCGATCCCTGCCACGGACCGCTTCCCCACGTCAGCCTGGCTCCTCGTTCTGCCAGGACACGATGGGACATGACGGCCCAAGAGACTGTGCGGGCCTCTCCCCAGCAGTGTGAGAGCTGCTGGCAGGGTCAGGTCACCCTGGGAGAGGTAAGGGGGCATGTACGGAGGCAGCATGCCCCTGACACTATGGCTAAAGCCTCACTGAAGGGGGTGAATCTGCTGCCTGGAGCGCCAGGCCCCTCTTCCGCCTGCTCTGGCAGAATGCAAGGACAAGCCCAGTTCTTGGAACGGGGGCTTCTGTTGATGGGGCTGGGCCCCTAACCCAACAGGCAGGCTTAGCAGGTTCCTCTCTCGTTTTAGTGCTGGAGCGCTGCTCCCCAGACCAAAGGGGAGCAGATTTGGTTGCGTGGCAGAGTTTGCCTTAGGCTTCATCTCCAGTAGGGAACAAGGCTGACACCACACCTGGCTTGCAGCATGTTAGAAATGCACAAGGCAGCTGTCCCGTTAACCCCGTGTTGCCAGGTGGGGGTAGAGCACTTAGTGTTTTAACCCCGTAGCTGATGGATACACGAGACTCCCCATCAGGGTTTACTCCAGCTGCCTTGCAGCGTGGATGTTTAAGCCAAGTTAACTAGCCCCTTTTTCCCCAGTGAAGACACAGCCTTGGCTTTAATGCTTTATCGGCACGATTAAGTTATTCAGGGCATGAGTTCTCAGGTTCCTTTTAAGCCCAGTCCTCAGGGAGTTGCTGGATTCCTTTCAGATCAGTCCTGTTAGAAATGCTCTTGGTGTCCCCCAAAATGTTTTCTTCTGCAGCCCAGACAAGGGGGCCTATCCAGAGCCAACCAAACAGCTACAGGCTGCAGTATCTGGCGCACAGCGCCTCCTGCTGGTCCCCCTCCCTGCAGATTCCTGTAACTTCTCCTGCTCCCTGTCGTATGCAGTGTTGTTGTGGCCATGTGGGTCCCAGGGTACTAGAGAGACAAGTAGGTGAGCTCTGGGTAAGCTCAAACTTGTCACTCCCTCGCAGAAGTTGGTCCAATAAAACATTTTACCTCACCCACCTTGTTCCTCCCCTCTGTCAGCAGATGTCTTCAGTGTCCATGGAAACTGGTGGGACTTACTAATGCTCAGTGTGATCTCCGGGAGGCTAACAGGATCCAGCCACAGTCAGCGAAAAAGACTAAGGAGCAGGAATTGAAGGGTAGGGGGAGAACGGCTGGGTTTTGTCCGCGGGTGCGTCACACACAGGGTTAGCTTTGATCTAGCTAGCTCCATTTGCAGGGAAGCTGTGGCTGCATGGGGCTAGCCATCCAGTGCATACCCTGGGCGGGGTCATATAGCCCGTGGTGCTCCTGTGGTTGGAGCTAGCGAGATCAAAGCTAACGCCAGTATATCTACGCACCCCGAGAGATGGGGGGACAGGCATTGTAACTCCAACTCCTTAAGGCTTTGCAGACAAAGCTACACCATGTGCCTCTCTTATTCCTGACTAGGGAATTGCTCACAGGTGGTTCCCTCTTTGCAATGAAGCTTCACGGAGCTACCCCTGAGGGTGCCTGGAGCCCTGCCCACCGCTGCCGGGAGCAGTAAAGGCAGAGCTGTAACCATCAGGAATCTCTGGCCAACCCTGCCCCCGCCCGGCGTAGATGCTCTTTTAAGATCGCCATGGAGGCGTTTGCTCTAAAGTGCTGCTGGCCTCAGTGCGGCGCGTTTGCTGATCTGGCGCGGTCACGCTCTGCTCAGTCTCCCCAGTCCAGAAGTTACGGAGCCGCACTACCGGTCTGTCTACACTGTAGACATGGGCAGACATACGCAAGCTAGCTGTAACTGACCCAGCTTGGGTACTGGAGCGGGGAATCTGGAGCGGCACAGGCAGTCCGCACCGGCCCAGACCTGACTCGGGTTTCACTGCCCTGGTATCTGAACTAGCTGGCTGAAAGCTAGCTCAGGTATGTCTACACACGCTACAGTCGCAACCAGCAAAGGCCGTGTAGACACGTACACTCAGTCACAGCCAGACAATCCTAACTGTATTACCAACCGTCCTGTCCTATCCCCGTGTGTGTCGAGGGGAAGAGCAGTCTCTGCTCTTTCCTATGAAAATGCCCCTTGAGGGCAGCCTTCGCGAGATCTCCCGTGACTAAGCCCCCACCTCCTGTTAGCTGTGTTAAAAGCACTCCGTCTCTTGAATACAATAATCTGTTCAGAAAGTTTATTTAACTCTATAGAAAACCTGCTGTAATCGGTAAGATACCAAATGCCTCTTGTTTAAAAATCAAGTTAACCATGAAAAGCAATCTGTGGAGCAATCCAGGGCCAAGGAAACCGCCTGCCCTCCCCCTGCTCTCGAGCGCAGCTGCCGCCAGCTGGCAGCGCCATCCACTGAGGACCCAGAAGCCTCTTGATCCCCTTACCCCCCCGCTGCTGTCCTACATGGAGCTGAGCTTGTCCTGCAGCGCCAGCCGCATCTGCTCCTCGGTCCCCTGCAGCATCCTCACCTCGATGGTGTGGAAGATGTACAGCCCCATGGAGAGCAGCAGCACCACCGTGGCCAGCAAACTCAGCAGGGAGGAGGAGAACTTGGGGAAGGGCTGCGGGGTGTCCCAGCCCACCAGGGAGCTCAGGCCCATGGCCGCCTGCAGGAGCAGCAGGAGCAGGGCCAGGCTAGCCATGCGGCCGTTGGAGTCGCGTTGACACTCGGCCGCGTGCAGCCGCGCCCTCACCTCTGTCCGGGCCTCGTTCACCACATCCACCAGCTCCGGCCCTGCAAGAGAAAACAGGGGCTTAGCCACAGCTTGGGACGGCTCCTCCCAGCCAGCCGGGCCACCTCGGACACAGCCCCAGCCTCTCAAGGGGCTCAAGGCATCTTACCCGCTGGAGAGACACACCATGCTGATACGGCAATCCGTGGGACAACTAAGGCCTTGTCTGTGCGGGGCAGGGGGCTTAATTCTGGGCAGGTATCCCATGGTGCTTTGCTTCGCTGCTGGGCTCTGTGCACCCTGGGTCTTTTTCTCGCCACGCGGGGTGAGATCCCTAGCGCCGGCTGGACGGAAACGATTGGGCTGTGGGATCAAACCCAACCATTCACCTGATGGCTCTCTCGGGGTTTTCAAACAGCCTGCACGGTCCACTTGCCACCGTGGCCTCCTTCCTGCAGAGCCTGGAAGAAGGAGCCCCGAAGCGGCTGCGGTCGGAGGCCCAGCTAATGCCTTGGCAGGCGGGGCTCTCTCAAGATCCCAGCGCTCCAGGTCCCAGGCTGCCGCCTGAGCTGCCCTCCCTGGGCCAGCTGCGCCCCCGTTGCCGAGGTCTGAGCGGCCAAGGCACTCACCGACATTGCTGCCACTCGAGCCCTTGGCCTCCTCTCCTCGCCGCACGCTCAGCGTAGCGATGACGGCTTCGTGGTCCGAGTAGGGAATGCTCTTGCCGGGGGCGGTGCCCGTGGTGGTCACGAGGCTGTCACACTTCACCACGAAGCGAGACAGTCCCTACGGGAAGGGATGGCGATGGGGCACAGCGCTACGCAGGCCCCGGGGCCATTCTCCCCGCAGCCCCTCCCCGGCCTGCCATGGGACGTGGCCCACACGATGGAAGTGAAGTCTGCTGCTCTGTGGCCCAGACGCTGCAGTGGGACCCGGGAGGCCGAGTGCCCTGCTCTAACCACACAGAAACAGCTCGAGACAGGGAGTTTTTACTGGCAACACTGCCCCACCGTCCAGAGGGCTGACAGAGCTGAGCTCCGGCTTCAAGTTACAGACAGACCAGGGCAGCGACGTCGCTCAAGCAAGTGGCAGGAGCTGGGATTATAACTAAGGCCTTCCTGCATCCCAGGCCTGTGATCAGTCCACTGTGCCCACCTGCTCAGATCTAAAAAGCAGGAAGACCCACACAGTACAAGGGCTATGGCTAAGGGACTTCAAAACCAGCAAGATCTACTATATAATATGGGAGGCAGTGTTGCCTAGTGGACAAGGCCTCAGAGGTCTATTCCCAGCTCTGCCCCTGGCCTGCTCAGTGACCGCGGGCAAATTGCCGCCCCATGCCTCAGTTTCCCCCCTGTAAAATGGGGCTAATGCTATCGACCTCATTGGTAAAAGCGCGCTGAGGTCTACGGGTGAAAAGCACTGCACGTAAGAGCTCGGTGGTGGGATGGACCAGACCCGGACAGGCCTCTTCCGCCTCTCCCGTCCAACTCGCAGTGGTAGCAGGCGGGAGGCAGTGCCCAGCACCAGGACGCAGCCCGGGGCCCGGTTCTCAGCTCTGTCCCAGACGCGGCCTGTGGTTCGGGCGGGTCACCTCCCCTCGCCGCCCCGCCGTGCTGCACGTACCTTGTAGAGAATGTAGTCGATGCGGATTCCCAGCGGGAAGGGCTGCAGCTCCTTATTGACCGTGAAGCAGTTGGCTGGGACCAGGGTGTAGCCGTCCTCGCAGCCCTGGGAGCCAACACAAGGTCAGTCAGTGTCCCTCCAGACAGACCAGACCCTGCCCTTCTCCCGGAGGGGGCCGGAAGGAGAGCCAGCGTCCTGCTGAAGGGCAGGGGCTCTGGACTCTCACAGAGATGGCAGCCTGGCTGGTGGCTGGGAAGGGAGGTTGAGGTGCTGGGGGACAGCTGGCCGGGGCGAGGTGCTGGGGTGCAAAGGAGGATCAGCAGGTGGGAGGGGAAGCCCAGCTTCTGGGTTCACCTGCTGCAGGCATTTACTGTCTGTGCGCCAGGCCAGTCCTGAACACACGCCCATCTCCCTCCCTGCCCGGGCCCTACAGGGAAGCGCTTACCTCGAACCTATCGGCGTCGGCGAAGGAGTCCCGCAGCCCTGTCCAGCCTCGCAGCAGCCGGATCCCCATGTCTCCAGGGTGCATGTTCAAATCCCCACCGAGCAGCACCACATCCGCTCCCTTCGAGGTGTGCCTTAGGGGACGGGACAGAGTAACTTGGCGGGGCCAGAGCGAGCGAGCTAGCCCCCACCCCCGGCACGCTCCCTACAGCACCCCCTGCTGAGAGAGGCAGGGACTGGAGTAGCTGGGGGTTTCTCCCACAGCTGACGCACCCCCGGCGTTTTCTACAGCGCCCCCTGTGGGGCGTGGCTGGGTCTGGGGCAGTTCCAAGCTCCCCCGCTAACGCGCCTTCATTCCCTAGATGAGACGCCGGGGCACACACAAGGCCCCACTGGCGATGAGCCCGCGGCGTCTCTGCTCTACTCACTGTATGAACTGAGCCAGCTCCCAGGCCTGCACCACTCGATGGGGGAGGTAAGCGTCCTTGTCCCGGCAGTACTCCGCAAGGAGCTGGATGAAGGGAGAACAGGCAGTGAGTCCAGGCGCTCGGGGACAGACACTGGAAACCTAGCTCTTATCCGCCCTATACCAATGCCAGGTGTGCTCCCAGGCTCCAAGCAGTCTGGCTTTAGACGTCTCAAACCAAGGAGACGAGGCAAGAGGCGCTGGATGGAGAACGAGAGGTGGCTTTTCACCTCTAGGTCTGAATCCAGCCCTGCTGGATAATGACTGGATATTGCCGGTTAGTGCTTCGTACAGGCTCCCATCACACCTGGCACTAACGGAGCGCCTCGCTGGCTGTCTTTTGTTTCCAAGCTCTGTGCCAGCAGAGGGTGCCCCGAGCATCCAAACTTCTTTCCTGTCCAATGTCAGAACAGCAATGCTGCTGTGTGGGAGGGGTGGGGGGAATTGATCGTCTAAGGGGGCTCAGCTGGGGCTAGTGGGGTGAAATTGAGCAAAGAGTGATCAGGAATCCTTTCCTGCTGGTGAGGTAGATCCGTTTGTGGAACGGTCTTCCAAGGGAAGTAGTGAGAGACCCCTTGGCTTGAGGCATCTCAAGCTAGACTGCACTGTGTTTTTCCAGTGACTCCCAGTCTCTGTCAGATCCTCGGCCCTCTCCCCCACCTTCCCCGCAGTGAGACTCACGTGGGTCACGTACACATGGAAGATAATCCCACAGATCTTGATGATGAGGAGCCCCACGGCCTTGCCGCAGAACCAGTCCCCGTGCTGGAGCTGCCGGGACAGGAGAGGAGAGAGAGAAGGCTGGTTACAATCACAGTGTCA